GGGCCTCATGCTAGCACTACCTGATAAGAGGACTGGCTGCTCGGTGATGGAAGGAAGCAAGGGAAGGAGGAAGGAAAAAGAGAAGGAAGGATGAAAGGGAAGAAGGAAAGGATAGTAGGAGAAAGAGGGAGGTAAGGAAGGGAGGGAGGTAAGAAGGAAGGAAAGAAAAGGGAAGGAAGGATGAAAGGATGGAAGGGAAGGAGAAAGGAAAAAGATAAGGAAAGGAGGGAGGGAGGAAAAGAAGGATGGAAGGAATGAAGGGAAGGAGGAAGGAAAGAGAGAAGGAAGGATGAAAGGGGAGGAAGGAAATGATGGAAGGAGAAAGGGAGGTAAGGAGGGGGAGGTAAGAAGGAAGGAATGATTGAAAGAAGGAAAGACAAAAGGGAAGGAAGGACAAAGGGTGGAAGATAAGGATGGAAGGAAAAGAAGGAGGAAGGAAAAAGAGGGAGGAAGAGAAAGATGGAAGGAAGAAAGGGAAGGAGGAAGGAAAGAGAGAAAGAAGGACAAATGGTGGAAGATAAGGATGGAAGGAAAGGAAGGAGTAAGGAAAAAGATGGAGGGAGGGAGGGAGAGAGGAAAAGAAAGTTGGAAGGAAGAAAGGGAAGGAGGAAAGAAAGAGAGAGAAGGAAAGAAGGCAAAAGGGTGGAAGATAAGGATGGAAGGAAAGGAAGGAGGAAGGAAAAAGATGAAGGAAGCAAGCAAGGAAGGAAGGAAGGGAAAGATGGAAGGAAGGAAGGGAAGGAGGAAGGAAAGAGAGAGAAGGAAAGAAAGCGAAAGAGTGGAAGATAAGGATGGAAGGAAAGGAAGGAGGAAGGAAAAAATGAAGGAAGGAAGGAAAGGAAGGAAGAAAGGAAGAGAAAGATGGAAGGAAGGAAGGGAAGGAGGAAGGAAAGAGAGAGAAGGAAAGAAGGACGAAAGGGTGGAAGATAAGGATGGAAGGAAAGGAAGGAGGAAGGAAAAAAGGAAGGAAGGAAGGGAAAGATGGAAGGAAGGAAGGAAGGAAGGGAAGGAGGAACGAAAGAGAGAAGGAAGGATGAAAGGATGGGAATGGATGAAGGGAGAAAGAGGGAGGGAAGAGAGGAAGGGAGGGAAGAAAGAGAAGTAAGGAAAGACAAAAGGGAAGGAGGGAAGGAGAAAGAGGGAGAGAAGGAAGGAGAGGAAAGAGGGAAGGACGAAAGGATGGAAGGGAAGGGAGAAAGAGGGAGGCAAGGAAGTGAGGGAGGGAGGGAAAAAGAAAGGAAAGAGAGAAGGAAGGATAGGATAGGATGGTGAGAGAGGGGAGGGCCTGAGAAAAGAGACTAAGGGGCCACATCTGGCCCCCAGGTCTCGGTTTGCCCATACTTGATCTATACTGTAGGATGAATGCCGTTTGACCCCACTTGAACAGCCACAACTGCATGTTATGCAATCCTGGGAGTTGTAGTTTGGTGAGTCTACCGACCTTGTAAAACTACAACTCCTAGGAGTCCATAGCATCGAGCCATGCCATCTAAAGCAGAGTTAAACTGCATTCATTCTACAGTGTGGATGTTCTCCTACTCTTGGCAAGTGAGCCCAAGGAAGAAACCCCAAAAGCCGTATTTAGGGCCGTTTGTTTGTGTGTGTTCGAGAGAGAGAAAGATTATTTGGCTTCTGGTTCCCTTTCGAGTCTTGACAAGCCCTTTCTCTGAATGGCAGACAGAGGCCAGGTTGGGATGTTCAGGCTTTGTAATTATTTGCTCTCGCAAACCAGAATGAATAATTTGCACTCATTTTCAGAGGCCAGGATTTCTTCTGCACACTGAACATGAAACATTCATATGCACTGCAAAATATGATCCTCTACGTAGGAAACGTGTTTTGTGCAGGAAAATGTCATCTTTTTTGGAGGAAGCACGTCTCCTGTGCCATTTCCCTTCCTATTTTCTGCACCAAAACAAGGCTCTTTGCATTAAATCTCCCCTCCTTGTTCTTCCTGGGCAAACCTGCCCCTTGCTTGACCCAAGGCAAGTTTGGTTCAAAAGTAGGTAAGGTAAACCATAGCAATGCCAACACTTGGGGTGCATATACACTGAAGAATTGATGCAGTTTGACATCCCTTTAACTACCATGGAGTGGTGGGAATTGCAGTTTTGCAAGGTCTTCACTCTTTTCTACCAAAGAGTGGTAGTACCTCACTAAACTGCAACTCTTATGATTCCATAGCATTGAGTCACGTCAGTTCAAAAGGGCATCATCTACAGCATAGATGCACCCTTAGGAAAACTACAACTTCCTGGGTCCCATAGCCTTGAGCCTTGGCAGCCCAAGTGGTGCCAACCTGAATTAAATCTATAGTGTAGACCAGTGGTTCCCAACCTTTCTGATGCCGCGACCCCTTAATACAGTTCCTCATGCTGAAGTGACCCCCAAACATAAAATTATTTTTGTTGCTACTTCAGAACTGTAGTTATGAATTGTAATGTAAATATCTGATAGGCAGGATGTATTTTCATTCACTGGACCAAATTTGGCACAAATACCCGATACATCCAAATTTGAATACTGGTAGGGTTGGAGTGGGATTGATTTTGTCATTTGGGAGTTGTAGTTGCTGGGATTTATAATTCACTTACTATCAAAGAAATTCTGCACTCCACCAACAATGGAATTGAAGCAAACTTGCCACACAGAACTCCCACGACCAACAGAAAATACTGTAAGGGTTTGGTGGGCAATGAGCTTAAGTTTTGGGGTTGTAGTTCACCTACATCCAGAGAGCACTGTAGACTCAAATAAGGATGGATCTGAACCAAACTTGGCATGAATCCTCAGTATGCCTAAATGTGAACACTGGTGGAGTTTTGGGAAAATAGACCTTGACATTTGGGAGTTGTAGTTGCTGGGATTTATAGTTCACCTACAATCAAGGAGCATTCTGAACCTCACTAACGATAGAATTGGGCCAAACTTCCCACAAAGAACTCGCATGACCAACAGAAAATACTACATTTTCTGATTATCTTTGGTGACCCTTCTGACACCCCCTTACGACCCCTAAAGGGGTCCCGACCCCCAAGTTGAGAAACACTGGTGTAGATGAATTCTGTTTGGTCAGCTCTGAAGCCATGATAATTCACAAATCCGAGTTGAGAACCTCGGAAACCATTGTCGTTGGATCACGTTCCAAGCCATGCCATTTTGCCTGTTGTGCCGCTGCCTTCCTCTCTGCCATGATTCCGTTTCACGTGTTTTGTTGCTTTCCTTGGAATGACTCCCAGAGAAGATGTCACCAGGCCTGGTGCCCCATTCGCACGCTCGTTCTTTGGCTTGCACCAGGAGAGAGGCTATTGCACTGTTCTAATGCACAGCACTGATAGTGTACATCTCACTTTGTCCAATATTCCTCGGGGGGAGATTTCCCAAGGAAGAGGAACCCCATTCCTTTTGGCTAGCAATGAACAGATTGGTAAATATTCCTTCCTTTTGATTCGGAGTGATCACATTTGTCAATAGTCTTTCCTGGTCAGACCTGTAGTCTTTATCTTTGGTTCGGAATGGTTAGATTCGTAAACATTCATTTCTTTTGGTCTGGAATGGAGAGATTTGTTCTTTCCTCTTTCTGGAATTCATAAATAGTCTTTCCTTTTGAATAGAAATGGTTGGATTTGTAAATATATTCCTTCCAAGGCAAAAGGGTCTTTCCATCCCAAGGAAAAGGCACCCATGTTTTGAGCGTCACGTTTTCTAGCAGAAGCCCATCCGGATCTATTGGAAGGCTTTGCTCTGTCCCTTTCCTTAGGAAACTGTCCCTTCATTGACTTCAAGCAAAGGGCAAGTGATGCAAAAGAAGACAGGATTTTGTTGGAAGGTACAGATTTTGCCATCAAAATCAAGCAAATGTGCAGTTGTTGTGAGTCTAGAATAGGGGGTTGTCTCTGTTTTGATGTGGGCAGTGGTAGGAATTGGCACAAAATGGGCACGCAACCCATATTGTGCCTCCTTTGGAGAGCATTAGAGGCTCTTCCATGGCAAAAGATAGAGAGGAGGCCCTGTTTTCTGTTCTTCTCCCTCCTATTTTCCCCCATCTGCTCATTCCCAAAGGCAGGAATCGGCTCCCTCCTCCTTTATGGCAGCCATGGAGATTTTCTTGAGACCAGGGGGTGAATGAATGAATCAAAACCATTTCCCATTTTGGAAGAAGGCTGGATTTAAAGGGCACTCGCCATAAGGAAAGGGCAAGGGTTACAAAGAGGGGCCGCATGCGAAAGAGGGAGAGAAGAACATAGCATCTCATCTGAGTGCATTGCATTCCCAGCCCACTCCTTGAATGTAGGATGGAAACATCAACATACATGGGTTGTTGTGGATTTTTTCGAGCTATATGGCCATGTTCTAGAGGCATTCTCTCCTCTAGAACATGGCCATATAGCTCGAAAAAACCCACAACAACCCAGTGATTCCGGCCATGAAAGCCTTCGACAATACAATCAACAATCATGCATTTTTGGGCATGTGCAGAGTTCTTTCCTTCGCATCGAACAACCCAGTGGCGTCTACCTGCCATAGATGAAGGTGAAAGCAAGACTTCTGGCAATATAGAAGTCTTAAAACATATACAGTTGTGAAGTCTTCCAAAGTCTGTGAAGAAAGGACCCCTTTCCGTATGATTGTGCCCTTTGTCGAGGGTCTTATTTTAGCAAGTGGACCTGGTACCTTCGATACCTGAATGACCCTAGATAGCCTTGTGTCATCAATATGGTGCCATAAGGCTTTGGGTTGGCTTTGGAATTGTTTGTTAGCTGCTTTGAGTCTCTTTTGAGAGAGGAAATTGTGATTATGAATATGATGATGATAATAATAATAATAATAATAATAATAATAGACCCTTGACAAAGGGCACAATCATACGAAATGCCAACTAAACAACAAGGGCAGTATAAGACTGTGCCAAAGAGAACACAGGTCTTTGCCTAATCAAATGGTACTTCCTCCCAAAGCCCATCACCCCACAGACAGGTGAATCCCAGAATGCCACTTACCTGGGAGGGTCTGGGCAGGTGCCCCAGGTGTGAATGAGGGAAGCCGGAGGAGGCGGAGGGGCCCCTAAGCCATCCACCAGGCGATGCTGCTGCCTTGCTCTCTTCCCTCTGTCTCTCTCTGTCTGTCTCTCGCTGCCTTTGCCACCTGCTCCCTCTGCCTCTGATTCCTGCTCTCTGCCTGGCGCCTCTTTCCTCAGCATCTCCCCCTCCTCACTGGCAGAAGGAGGGCCTGCCTGCCCTGTCTCTCGCTCTCATTGGCTGTGAAGGGTGCCACTCACTCCACTTACTGTTTTGGCCAGACCTCACCTGGAATCAGACTGTGTCCAGTTCTGGGCACCACAGTTCAAGAAGGAGGTGGACAGGAATGACCGACTGCGGCCAAAGAAGGGCCGCCAAAAGGTCTGGAAACCAGGAATGCCTATGAGGTTTGGCTTAGGAAGCTGGAGATGTTTAGCTTGGAAAAGAGAAGGCTAAAGAAGTTATCATTTAGCCATGTTTTCTGCTGCTTCGGAGACTAGGACACAATGGAACCATGGATTCAACAGGAAAAGGGATTCCATTAATAAGAACTTGTATTGTCGAAGGCTTTCATGGGTTGTTGTGGGTTTTCCGGGCTGTATGGCCATGTTCCAGAAGCATTCTCTCCTGACATTTCACCTGCATCTATGGCAGGCATCCTCAGATGTTGCGACCTCCCGACAACCCATTAGTAAGAACTTCCTAATGGTAAGAGCTGTTTGTAGTGGAATATGCTGCTTTTTAAGAGTCTGCTGGAGTCTCTTTCATTGGAGATCTTCAGACAGAGGCTGAATGGCCATCTGTCAGGAGGGCTTTGATGGTGTCTTCCTGCTTGGCAGATGGGAGTCTCTTCCAACTCTATGCTTCAAGATGTTGGGTGGGCATAGGAACCTCGCTTGCTGCCTTGGGATTCATTTTTGACCCCAGACAAGAGGCAGTCACCATTCGCCTTGTCCTCCATGTCCCCAGAGACCCCAGAGTCTAAAGGGGGACGGACCGTGATATTACATTAGGGCAGTGGTTCTCAACCTGTGGGTCCCCAAGTGTTTTGGCCTACAACTCTCAGAAATCTCAGCTAGTTTACTAGCTGTTATGATTTCTGGGAGTTGAAGACCAAAACATCTGGGGACTTACAGGTTGAGAACCACTGCATTAGGGATTGCATTATGATACAGGTTGAGCATTCCTCATCTGGAACTCCAATATTTGAAATGCTCCAGAAATTTGAAATGGTCCCCATGGTTGACTGAGGGAACATCACCTTTGCTTTTGGATGGTTCAGCGTGCACAGACTCATTACAGGCATTGTTGATCTGGTAGAACAAAAAATACAAGGGAGAGAAAAAGAAAAAAGAAAGAATCTGGCAGTCTTCCCAAATGGAAAACAAAAGGGAAGAACATGACTTGGCACAAGGCAGGTTTGGCAGGAAGTCATTTGTTAGTATCTATCTAAAACAAGGGATTCCTTTCTTCCTTTCTCCTGCCCTATACTTTCCTTCTCTCTTCATTTGTTTCCCATCCTATTCTTTTCTTCCTTGCTTGCTTCATTTGTTTCTCCTGTCCTTCATTTCTCATCCTTTTCCTTCCTTCCTTCCTTCCTTCCTTCCTTCCTTCCTTCCTTCCTTCCTTCCTTCCTTCCTTCCTTCCTTCCTTCCTTCCTTCCTTCCTCTGTCCTATAACTTCTTCCTTCAATTGTTTCTTATCCTTTTCCTTCTTTCTTTCCTTCATTCTTTAGTTTCTCCTGCCATATAACTTTTCCCTTCATTTGTTCTCATCCCCCCATACATTTCTTTCTTTCTTTCTTTCTTTCTTTCTTTCTTTCTTCCTTTCTATTCCACTTTGTATCTGAATATCTCAAGTCAGATCATATTAAAAACCCATAAATAGGTGCAATAATCTAGATGTATCTTAAACCATTTGTCACTTAAAACCATACACATGTGCAAATTGGATACAGTCAGGCCCTGAAGGCATTAACAAAAGGCTATGGATGGAATGTCTTGGTGCCGGGAAGAGGCCATTGTTGGTGCCAGTCCACCTTCTTAATAATAATAATAATAATAATAATAATAATAATAATAATAATCCTTTATTTATACCCCGCTACCATCTCCCGCAGGACTCGGTGGGGAGGGCATTGTGTAATCCCGCTAGATGTTTTTGGAGTGCAGATCCCAGCACCCCTTAGCCTTTTATGGTGAAGCATGGTGGGAATTGTAATCCACCATGAATAACCTTTATTAACCAATAATCCCCCCCCCCCTTCTTTGTGGACTTTTATGCTATTGTTCAGTGACACTCTATGGCTTGTGTACAGTTAATCCACTCTGGGCTTTAGTCAGAACTTGAAACTCTTCATGGTAGTACACCCTATCTCTCCGCCAATAGATTCTGCACCTTTATGTAATAATAATAATAATAATAATAATAATAATAATAATAATAATAATAAACAAGATAGAACTGCAAAGACTTTGGAACAAGGCAATAAAGGTGGTCCCAGTGGTGATCAGCACACTGAGTGAAGTGCCTAAAGACCTTGGCCTGCACTTAAAAACAATTGGTGCTGACAAAATTACCATTTGTCAGCTGCAAAAGGCCACCCTACTCAGATCTGCATGCATTATTCCTTAATACATCACACAGTCCTAGACACTTGGGAAGTGTCGGACTTGTGATCCAATACAAAAGCCAGCATAGTGTTGTTGTTTGTTGTGTGCTAAACTTGTTGTGTATCAAATAATGATGATGATGATGATGATGTTTCCCTTCTAGTTGTGGTTCCTTCTCTCTCTTAAATGGAAATTAGAGGGAAATGGTGGATTTGCGCCCTGACCCCTACCCACCATGGCCACTAACCCAACTCTATGATGAACACTGACCCCACAAACTGGTCCTCACATCTCTGCCTCCCTTCCCTCCTGCCTCAGTTTTACCTCCCTCTTTCCCTCCTAAAGCAAAGTGACATTTTCATTTTCTAGGGAAGAACAACACTCTCATCACGGTCTTTTTAAAATAAAAATAAAAAGAGGGAGAAGCAGATTTTGGGAAGGAAGGATGCTGTTACTATGGCAACCGCCCCTGATCCAAAGCATCCGTGCTTCTTCTATTCTGCTTTGCTCCAATGTCCTTGGTACTCTGCTGCGTTGCAGAGAAGGCTGCCTTCAAGGTTGAAGAAGGAAGGCGGATCCTGGGCCAGAAAAGGGGGCCAGTTGCCCCAGGGGTTGGGGGCCAAGCCCCCCCCCCCATTGCATTGGAGGCTCACAACCCTCCGCTTCCTTCTTCTCCACTTCTTCTTTTCCTTCTCCTCCTCATCCTTCTCTTGGCCCTTTTCTGGAAAGGAAAAGAAGAGGAGGAGCAAAGAAGAAGGAGAAAAAAGAGGAGGAGGAAGAGGAGAAGGAAAAGAAAAAAAGGAGAATGAGGTGAAGACAAAGAGGGGGAAAAATGGGGAAGAAGAAGGGAAAAGGAGGAGGAGGAAGATAAGGAGGAGAAGGAAAAGATGAGGGAGAAGGAAGAGAGAGAAAGAAAAGAAGAATAAAATGGGAAAGGTGAAGAAGGAGCACAAAGAAAAAGAAAATGAAGAAAAGGAGAAGGTGAAGAAGGAAGAAAAGAAGAAGCAGGATGAAAAGAAGGAGAAGGTGAAGAAGGTGGAAAAGAAGAGGGAGAAAGAGAAGGAGAAAGAAAAGAAGAATGAGAAGGTGAAGAAGGAAAAGGAGGAGAAGGAAGAAAAGAAGAAGGTGAAGAAGAAGGAAGAGAAGGAGGAGGAGGTAAATAAGGATGAGGAGGAAAAAAGAATGAGAAAGTGAAGGAGGAAAAGGAGCAGGAGGCGCAGGAGGAAGAAAAGAAGAAGGACGTGAAGGAGGAGAAGGAAAATAAGAGGGAGAAGGAGGAGGAGAAAGAAAAGAAGAATGAAAAGGTGAAGGTGAAGAAGGAGCAAAAGGAAGAAGAGGGGGAAGAAAAGGAGAAGGTGAAGAAGGTGAAGAAGGTGGAAGAGAAGAGAGAGAAAGAGGAGGAGAAAGAAAAGAAGAATGAGAAGGTGAAGAAGGAAAAAGAGCAGGAGGAGCAGGTGGAAGAAAAGAAGCAGGTGAAAAAGAAAGATGTGAAGGAGGAGAAGGAAAATAAGTGGGAGAAGGAGGAGGAGAAAGAAAAGAAGAATGAAAAGGTGAAGGTGAAGAAGGAGCAAAAGGATGAAGAGGGGGAAGAAAAGAAGAAGGTGAAGAAGGTGGAAAAGAAGAGAGAGAAAGAGGAGAAAAAAAAGAATGAGAAGGTGAAGAAGTAGGGGGGAGGGGGAGGAAGAGGAGGAGGAGAAAGAAAAGAAGAAGTTGAAGAAGGAGGAAAAGAAAGGGAGAAAGAGAAGAAGAAGAAAAAAAGAAGGTGAAGGAGGAGGAGGATGAAAAGAAGAAGAAAGTGAAGAAAAAGCAAAGGGAGGAGGAGGTTTTCAGTTGCATCCAGAGTACTGTAGTGATTTCCCTTTTTGATAGGTTGCACACTCCATTACCATCTTTTGGGAGCCTTTTGGAGAGGAATGTGATTCCCTGGGAACCATGATTTTAGCCCCACCTTTTTTGCATGACATTATTGCAATACAGGACTTTCTTGAATTACACAATTGTGGCAGTGTGGTCCCACATAGCATACATCTACACTGGAGATTCAATGCTGCTTGGCATTACTTTTACTGCCGTGGCTTAGTGCTATAGAATCCTGGGAGTTGTAGTTTTGCAAAGTCTGGAGCCTTCTCTATCAAAGAGCGCTGGTGTGAAATTCCTGTCTTGTCTTCATATTGTTTCTCTCTCCAGCAGAGTGCAATGCGGAAAGCGTGGTTTTGAGGAAAGGGTTAAGAGCCTCCGTTCTCCGAGACACCAATCTGAATCCTTCCACCCCCATGGAACTATTTTAGACCCAAGGAAACGCAAAGATGATCTGATCACGAATCTTGAGAACGGATCACGAATCTCTCACATTGAGTTGGCCCTGGGTTCGCTTAGATTCCCCCCTTTGAACAACATTAGAAAACACAACAAATCTATTTGTGTTAGTCTTTGACACAAATATAACGTTGTTGTCCATGTAGCAGTTCAGTTCCACTTTAGCTGCATTTAATTCCATTTTAGCATGCATTTGTTATCAGCTTCTGTATGCCCGAGTACGCATTTTAATGCTATTTATTAGAAATACTCATTGTTTTGTCAAAGGCTTT